TATTCTTTTGCCATTTTTCAAGCACACAACTTGGTACTCAGTCTTGTCAATTTTCTTACCATCAAAATGCAAAGAAAATTTCTCTTCAGAGATCAGTTCCATGAGGCGGTTCTTAACTTGTTCTGCATCTCTGATTGTTCGATGCCAGACTCCAGACTGTGATGGTGTTGGGACACAAACTCCATCCTCAGCCAGACTTTGAAGCACCCGTGATGTTTTTCTGGTTGACAAAGAGTGACTAGACACTAGTTTGGCAGCAGACTTAGTTGACTAGCATGTTGCACGCTTTTTGCGAGATTCTCCTGGAACTGCCTCCTAGTCACCACTGCTGCTTCCTTCCTCAGAATCCTCACTATCGCAGGAAAGTGGTACGGAGATAACCGCTTGGTTTGACGAGGGTTCTGATGTGCTTTTGGCCCTTTTTGATGGATGGATTGTTGACATAGGAGCCACTTTCATAGTTGTATATCCCACCCTGCCATCTGATTCAATTTGTACTTCGTTCAGTTGTTTGTTCTCACTACAAAGCCAATTTCCATCTGGTTTTGTTATATCGAACAGATGAGCAAGATTTTCTTCAAATACTGCATTTGGTCGCTTTCTGTGTTTCTCAAATGATGTGATAAGTTTGTAAACATTAGCAGACACTTGTTTGGAAAGAACAGGAAAATTAAACTTCTGCTAAAGATTCATCAACTCCTCGGATATTTTTGTTAGTCGATCATGTCGTCCTTTCAATTCATTAAAGAGTCCCAAGAATCTTCCAACGATATCTCTGTTAGAAGGCATTTTACACAATTTGTCGCTCATATCCTGTTTTACCTGTGGTATATTAGGACAACGCTTCGTGCTTGATTTCAAATTTTGTGTCCATATTTCACCAGCTGCTTCCACTGCTGATTTTGACTTTTTACTTTTAAAGGACATATTTTCAAAAAGAAGCACTAAACAGCAGATCTTGCAAATTAATACTGCAAATAATGAAAAAACTTTTAAAATACTTCTACTCAATATTTTAATTGCGCGAACATTAAAAAATAATCAACAACAAACAACAACAAACAGGCATTAATTTGAAAAACAGTCGTTAAAATTTGTTATTCAAAATTGAGTTACATAACATAAAAACAATTTAAAACTATTGAACTTTTTCATTCTATGTTAATTAACTTTTTAAACTGTTTGACGCTCTCCAACTTGTAGTTATATTCAAGTATTGTCAAGCATAGTCAAGCATAAGAAAGTAAGAACTGGGAACAAAATCAAGTGAAAAATCGAAAAAGTTAAAAGTGATGAGGTGCTGGGTGCGGGAGGTTTTTTTGTGATCCAATGAAATAAACCTCAAAATAGTGATCTATTGGTAAAAGTTTATCAAATGCAACATCAGGAAAATTAAAATTTTGAAAAAAGTTTTTTTTGTCATATACCTAATATACAGGCCTCGACAGGAAGTGAGAGCTTTAGCTCTCGCTTCCCGTCGAGGGAAGTATTAGAGCCTGTATTAGAGGCCACACTCCCCTGAAACGGTTTACGAGAGCTATTTACGGCTCTTGCAAAAGTATAATTTTTCTCATAAAAGTATAGTTATCATTTTATATAAAATAAAAAACACAATGTCATTTAAAAAAAATTAATTGCATAATATACTGAAATGCTTTTTAAAAAGGCACAGTTGTTGCAAAAAAAAAATTAGAATTAAAAAAGAGCGCCAATTTAAATGAGGAGCAGCTCGCTAGCTCCCCAAGTTTGTTTTAGGAGAGCTTTTCTCCGCTCTCTTACTCATTTATTCCCGCCGAGGCCTGTATGTGTGTGTGTATATATATATATATATATATATATATATATATATATATATATATATATATATATATATATATATATATATATATATATATATATACAAATATATATATATATATATATATACAACCCTCGGAATTAGGGTCGGCATTCAGCAATTCCGACCTAAAAGTGTTAAAGGTCGGCAAATATCGCGGACCTCGTTTCTATGTTTTATGGTTAGACCTTTGTATCAATTTTTTTTTGCCGACCTGATACCGCTCTCTTAAAGATTAAGGTCGGCAAATTATTGCCTACCTCATTTTTCCTAATTCAGAGGGTTATCTATATATATATAATTTTAAAATGTATTCTATAAAATAGAGTGCTCAATGTTCTTAAATGAACAGAGCAATTATAAGGTAGTAGAAAATCACTTGGCAAAATTTTTTTTCATTTAACACTGTGTTTCATCAATAAAGACAGAAATGAATGATCAAATAATTAAAACTTCAATTTATACCAAAAAATTAAATTACAGGAAGTTGCAAATGTCATAACTACTGTAAATTTTCACACATTTGTGGAATATGCTGACACTATTATAAAAAGAATTCTTTAGAATTGATTACTTTTGCTTTTTTTAAAAAATATTTTTTAAAAAGGGGGATTAAATGTAATTATTACTTGAGCTCACTTATTTTTATAGCTTGGGAGAAACTTATTTTTGTGCCTGCATTTAGAAATTAATTCCAATTTTTTTTTAATAAAGATTCTTGGTTTGCATGTTAATAATTTCAAATTTTGTAGGCATAGTATGCATTTTTTGGAAATGTTGTTATATCTTTTTTGTTTAACAAAACATTATTGTGGCTTTTTGTAATTCTTTCCATATTTTTTGTGCAACTGTAGCTAACTTTAATTGTATTTCAAATAAAAATTTTATGTAATTTATTAGAGGGCAGAAATTGCTTATTGACTAATTTTAAAAACACTTTACCTATGTTAGTGGAAACATTTTTGCTATATGGGGGGTTGAACCAAATTACATTTCTAGTTCTATTTTGCTTTATCATATTCTTTTTTTCAGGGTCAAATTTTAGTTCAAAACCACTTTTTTTAAGGGTATCTTCAAATATTTTTTTAGAGGAATTGAATACGTTTTCATTGAGGAGTTTTGGTTTAGCCTGTTATTAACTGAAATCGGAATTTGTTTTAGAATTTGGGGTGGATGATCTGAGTTAATATTAATATACAATAATTCATCTCTTGGTTTTTTGAAAGGCTTATATGAATTTTCAGGGAGGTTAAATGTGACGTCAAGAAAAGTTCACAATTTTTAAATTAATGTTTATTTGGATTTGAAAGACAATATTTTAAAAAAAAAATGTTAATATCTTTTCTAATTTTATCAAGCTGTGGACCAGATTTTTTATGCATTACTATTAAACCATCGTCACGATAAAGGTCTAAATCATTTATATTGATTATTTTACTTAATAAATTCAAAATATATAGTCCAACAAATTCACAAATTTCTGCTCCATCATAACTGCCCATTGTTACATCAAAGCAGTCATGTAAGTTTTTCTTTTTCCAAGTTTCCTTATTCAAATAAAGTATGGTTTTTCTACAATATTTTATTATACGGAATGTTTCTTCAGGAATAACTGTGTGGCTTTTTGTAAATTCAATAGTTTTATCTAAAATATCTTCAGTTATTGAGGGGGTAAAAATCATTAATGTCAAATTGAATAAATGTACAGTCATTTTTATTTTCGATTATGGAGAACCAATTTATAACATCAGTGGTGTTTTTCCACTGTTGCAAATTTAATTTATTTCTAAGAATATTATTAATTTTACTTTGCTTACATGCTCAATCTCGCTTTTTGAGGTAACCAATAACCTACAAGGAAGTTTGTTTTGAAAATTTTGTTTATGGTCTTTTAGTGTTACGAAGGCTCGGGCAGGGGCAGCTGATTCGATTCTGTTATCAAGGTTTATGTTTTTAGCAATATTTTTCGCTTCTAAATTAACTGCATTTTCCATATTTTTAGGGGCTTTCTCATAAGAAAGTAATATTGTCACTAGTAATATTGTCGCATAAGATTTTTTCATAGTTTTCTGTTGTTAGTTAGTAAATATTTTGTTTTATCAGCAAAAACCAAAATATTAGGGTTTGATTTAATTTTTTTAACATCTAACTTTAATTCTGTTTAAAATTTATTTTTTATAGAACGAAACTTTATTGTTTTAATTAAGTGCAATAGGTCATTTTCAAAATTTTTCAAATCAGGTATAAAAGGTGGGGTATTTTTTGTTTTAAATCCATATTTTAAATCCTGTGTTTGTTTTGGTTTTAAGAAAAAATGGGCTTTCCAATGAATTCTTTTAATAAAATGCTCAACTTTTCCAATCAAAAAAATAGTATATCTTTTCCATCTAGTATAGGTATATTTTTCAACGAGTAAGTGAAATTATTAGTTTCCATATTTACATGGAATGTTAAAATACAAATAAGAGCTCAACAAATGTTAATAAGGAGCCTAATACATATTTAAACAATATTATATATATATATATACATATATATATATATATATATATATATATATATATATATATATATATATATATATATATATATATATATATATATATATATATATATATATATATATATATACATATATATATATATATATATATATATATATATATATATATATATATATATATATATATATATATATATATATATATATATATATATATATATGTATATATATATATATATACATATACATATACATATACATATACATATATATATATATATATATATATATATATATATATATATATATATATATATACATATAAATATATATATATATATATATATATATATATATATATATATATATATATATATGTATATATATGTATATATATATATATATATATATATATATATATATATATATATATATATATATATATATATATATATATATATATATATATATATATAATTAATTAAAATGTAACTAGTTACTAATATTTTTTTACACAATAACATTAGACATAATTCAATTAAACAGTAATATGCTACATATTTATTTATAAAGTGAAGTTTACATAATAGTACATAAAGTGATGGAATAATTTATCGGTTAAGTTTGCATAAATAGTAATAACATAGATTTTCAACTTACTAATTTATCAGCAAAATTAGCATAATTAGCAATTATATAGAGTGGTGACTTAGTCAAATGTTTGAAATCTGGATTTATTAATCCTTGGTCATTACTATTCTTGAAAATTTTTGCAGGTCGACCTTCACTATCACCATCCAAAATCCGAAAAAAGAAATTGAATCGAAGTGGTAATTGTGGCATTTTTGACCAGGCTTCTTCTTCTTTTTTTTTCTGCTGTTCATCTCTAATGATGTAAGGAAAATCTGGATTAATACATGAATCTAAAACTGCAAGTACAGTTTCCTAAAAAAAAAAAAAAAAATAATAAATCAATTATTCATTGATTTTTAATTCATTTAAACACTCAACATGACAATACCTTCATACTACCAGACATTATTAGGTCACCTAAGCTGTACTGTCCAGGTGTTGATAAACTTTCATTAGCGAATAAGTCACGAACTCTATTAATAAAAAATGTATAGAAAACAGAAACCTTTGCATTCACATAAATATAAAAACAATTAAATTAAAAACACTTTTTTACCAGTTGAGCAACTTGTTTTTAAAAGATAAAATCATAATTCATATTTTTTGCAAGATAATAAAAAAGAAAACAAGAATAGGAAGTTTCAAAAAAGATTCCAGAGTTTGTTCCATACTTTGGAGCTCTAAAAATGTTTAGGAAACTCTTAACTTCAAAAAGATCATGAGAAAGAAAGAGAAAGAAAGCAGAACATTATTTATACTGAATCTATTAATTTTAAACCGAGCCATGCAGTCTCTGGGATTATTTTACATTGTAGTTCAAATAATAAGTTCCAGATTATTTAGAGTAATATAGTTTTATCAAAGACTTATAGTTGCTAATCATTATTGAACCACTTAGAATTCAGATTCCAGATTAAAATAATGACACTAAACAATAGAGCTAATTTTGGAAATTGTATCCCTGGCCAAAAACCAGGTATCAAAAATTTTTGATACCTATATATATTTTGATAAAATCACTATTTTAATATTTTTACTTGCTCTAGCTCTGAATCTTATTTACAACATCATATATAAAAGTGCTAAATAAATAAGGAAGGAACCAAACCTCTCATTCAACATTGATTTCATTAACAAAGAACAAAGTTTATCATTCTTTTTATCTAAAGCAATTTCAACAGCCATTCGTCGGCGAGTACCATCTTCTGGATAATCTTTCCTACAAACTGAGTTAGGGTACAGCATTAAATATTTTTGAGCAATTTCACACAAACCATTTTCTGCAGCGAGATGCAATATAGTTGTTTCTGATTTGTTAGAATTATTAATTTTTAATAATCCAGCATACAAAGATTTATGCGTTTTCGGGTTAGCATCATATATTTCTGGATCTGGATTTGTCAAAGGAAAGATAGAAAAACCATTAAAATCTTCTTGCAACAATATATCAGCAAAATCTGATAACTTGTAAAAAAAATTAGAACAACATTTAACATAAAAGATTTTTACGTTAAAAAAACTTTTACTTTAAAAAAAACACAAAAAAAAATTAGCAAAATTGAGTAGTGAACTTACTTGTGACACAAAACTATCTAACATCTCTAACTGATTGTGTTCAGTTACATAGTTTTTGAATCTTTCATAAACTGCTGTCATTAAAACAACAAGAACATCACTTTTTTCTGAGTCTGGAATGTCTGGGTCATTATAGCGCTTCTTTAACAATTCTAAACGAAGTCTAGTTTCTACTTTAATCCAAGTGATTTCAGGATTAATTTTGCTTTCTCTATCAAAGCATTCAATAACCTAAAACAATGAAGTGTAGATATTAAATTTATATTAATAATTAGTATTATATTAATATTATATTAATATTAACTATAAATAAATATAAATAAATAAATTTAAATATACAAAAGTAAATAGTTTCAAAATTGTGTCGTTTTTATAGATCAAAATTAAGATAGCTCTTAACTGCGAAATTTGTGAAAGAATTTTTTATTTGGATTTATTATTGGGATTATACATTATTTTTATATAAGAGACTTATAATTCAATCCACATGATCCAAAATAGGTGATCATTTTTTAAACCTGAGAATGGAGTTAAAGAATAATACATTAAAAAAAGACTAAATAACATGTTTCCTTACATTTACTTATTCAAATAGTGGCGATTGCTTCAAAATTTTCAAAATGAACACAAAAGTTGTTTTTTTTTCAAGTAGTTATTGAAATTTTTTTTACTAATTAAAAACAATTATGTACTCAAATTTAAATCTTATTTTCAAAGACTTTAGAAGAAACCTAAAACATTCTGATTACTTTGCTAGCTTTTACTTAATGGAACTTATTAAAGTTTAATTAATGAACTCATTAACTTTTTTGCCAATAAATCAACGATTATTTGTACAAAAGTAATGAAAAAAACATTAATTCAATTTTCTTGTTGAAAAAGGTCACCCACAAACCAAAAACTCAAATTTACTATATATGCGTATGGATAAAAATTCCAAACAATTTTATTATATTTAAGTTATTTTTGAATTCTAACTTTTTAAATTGGAGTATATTATGTAGTTTTTAAGCATTTAACAGTTTATTGTTACATCATAATGCTCTAAATTACAGAAAAATTAACTTAAGTTTATTATAGGTAGATTGATGTCAAAACAACTAAGCATCTTTTCAATGATTATTTAAAAATTTAAATTCACAAAAGGATCAACCACATTTTCCCACTAAAGAACCAAATTTAGATTTTGTTAATACTTTAGATTATATTAGCGCCAAATTTTAGATTTCTTTCTACATTTCAAAAATATCTTCTGCAAAATTTCATTAATTTAGATTTAGTAGTTTTGCTAAAAAGCAATGAGCAATTTTTCATAAAATTCATAGAAAGTTCTTAAAGTTTCAAGAGGTGTTCACAAATAGAGTATATATAAGGCCTAATATAATATAGCTTATTAGGCTATATTATTTTAGACTATATATTTCTATATATAGCAAAAAATGGGTATTGTTAAAGACCATGCACCACACAAGCAAACACTGGCATAAACCTCTTGTTTTAAACATTCCGAGTGCAACAAAATATACATCCTCTATGACAACACTTGTCCTTAGTTGGCAAAACTGGCGCTGCAAAAACTATTAGATCTTGACTGAGAACTGTTACGCCATTATGCCTCTACTTAACACCAAAAGATTATTTGTCTCAACCGCTAAGCAACACCTGGCACAATTAAAGATTTGACAGTGAGAACCACTGGCAACATCTTTATCACTTATTTGATCCAAATCCTAAAGAATTTTATATCAATGGCATCCCTTCTTTGGTTAAGCATTGGCAAGAAGTCATAGACAATGATGATGCATTTATATTTAAAGATTATTTAAGAAATCAAAAATAGACAGTTAAATTTTTTGAATAAATACTCATTACTTTTTAGCCAACCTATTTTATTAACAACATTAACATTTGTTAAGTTTGTTATGTTATATGTTAACATATTAAGATATGTTAACTTTGTTATATGTTAATAACTATGTTATTAAGATATGTTAACATTGGCAACTTCACAAGTGTCAAAACTTTTTTTTTTAAGACACAATAACAACAAAAATTTACTTGCTCCCAAAAATTTTCCCTCTCTTTGTAATCTTCATTAAATGGATTCAGTGGATCTATATCAACAGATATAAATGTAGCTGAGTTCTTGACCTTTGTACTGACTAAGGGTATAGTCTCACCACTGTTTGACATTTCTTTTTTCGGAACTAAAAATATATATTCACCCTGGAAGACAATACAGCTAAATAAGCAAATTATTCATTCAAAAGAGAGATTAGAAAATATGTTGGTATATAAATATATAGATAAAAGATAGAAAAATATATAAGCCTAAACTTAACTAAAATATATAATTAATATCTATATCCAAATACAATATCTAAATATACAAAATATAAAGTTCCTCATTTAATTATTAGCCCATATTAACATTTTTTATATTTCTGTCTTTCAAGTAGTTAAATTTGCATGTTTTTTTTTTAATACATGTTACTTTGTGTTTATCTTAAGTTATTTTCTAACATAAAATATATAAAAATGATAATAAGAAAATATTTATTAACATAAACTTTTAATACTTTGATGATCCTCTTTTATTTTTCATCACTTAACAAAGGCAATTTGACATACTAATAGCATATATTTGACATATAAATGATTCAATTTAAAGCCATTTCTTTCAATTAGATTCTATTAGTGACCTTTTCTATGGAAATTTCTCTCTTTAACTCTTATAAATTTTTTATGGAGTTTAGATCTGTTGTGCTCATAATACAAATTTTCCAAAAGTCCAACACAGATCTATAAGATCAAGCCATGATATACATGTAAATAAACATATGTCCTAAATAAAACAAGTAAATATAATTATGAATAAGCTAATTTATAAATCCTCACAATCAAGTGGCTTTTTGAACTTTATCTTTTATCCAAGAATTGATACTTGTATTTGTTTTTTATTTATCTCATCTGGTTTTTTCTGCTTCTGCTATTACCTTGATTTCACAATAAAAACACTTTTCCTATGCATCTCCACATTATCTTGAGTCATGCATAGGGCAGATATAATGTACAAAGATTAATTTGATTTTAACAGAAAATAAGCTCATTGTGATTTAGTTTGACTTTACATGATCTAAGAGCATTGCAGTTCATTAATTTACCTCTAAGACCCCATTCGCAAATTATTTTGTATTGAATGGCCACAATTTTTTCCTTGTTTGAAGAAGTATGGATGGTATAAAAGTATTTACCAGAGAACTAGAAAATGGGTGTAACTATACTACATGGATAACATCTGCCATATTTTATTGTAGTATTTAGGATACCTCGTAATATTAGGATACCTTTGAAAATTTCCTTGTTTGACATGACACATTTTAATAAGAAATTTTACTGATTTCAAAGTGGCTTATGCAAAGTCATTCAATCATGGGTAGTGTGGACTACATGTTATGTGCTTAAATTGGCACGATTGAGAAAATTGATTAAACAACTTTGAAGTATATTGTGTACCATTATCTGAAACAAATCTTCTGGGAAAGGATCTCTATAAAATGATACTTTGCATGCTTGTATTACATTTACTAAATTGGTATTTAAAAGCAGAAAAACCTCAGGCCACAAGCTATAATTTTTAATAATAATTAAAAGTTCTTATTATCGCACTGAAAAAAATCAGTTCCAACATTTTACCATGGTTGTGTTGGAACATCCTGCATCCTGCCTATGGTTTATTAACCCCGGCCCCGGTCAAATATCAGAATTAATCAATCAATATATTAATATAATATTATTATTATTTTAAAATAGTTGTTTTATACCATTGTAGGTAATTACGCCTTATCAGTTTATATCTGTTTGCAAATGTTCCTCACTATTGTTATATATATATATATATATATATATATATATATATATATATATATATTATATATATATATATATATATATATAATAACTGGTTTAATAATAATAATAACTGCAGTACTAATAATAATACTGATTTAATAGCTATAAAATAACATCAAAGTAGTGTTATAGATAAAAGTTAAAGATATTAATATTGTATCATTAGTAAGAAAAAGAAAAAGGGAGTAGAATGTTAATCATACTTAATTAACTTACCAGTAAAATTCTCTGCAGTAAATAAAAATCTTAACAATTTCATTCTTATTCATTGAATTCTTGGTGACATATCAAAAAGGGAATGATAATTTAATATAGGAATTAAGAGTTAGTGATTTGTTTCCAATATAAAACTTGGTAATCCATACAAATACTTCGACATACTCGTCCACCATTATGTTACAGCTAGCATTTCCATTTCGATTAAATAATTTTTTTTTTCTGAATTGTCAAAAATCAAAAAGACAATCAATTGGTATACCTCATCACAGCAAACAACTACACTGAGCCCATTTAATAAACTTCCATCTGTTCTTACTTTTACTGGTTTTATCAAATCAGCTTTTAAGTTCAAAATCAGCATGACTGATTTTGAATTTAAAAGATCTTGCAAAAGTTGAGTTATTGACAATTATGCAAAACTGTAATATTTGTTGGTTTCTGAAAATTTTGAATTGCTTCAACTTTTTTGGTCATAGTTTCTACTCTCTCTGCTGAAATTTCATGTCCTAAAAAATCTAACTTACTTTGATTTAATACACACTTTTCTAAATTAAGGGAAAATAAACTTTATGTTAAACAAATTTATTTAGCAATGCAAATAGGTTTTCATTATACATACTTTCAGTGTTGCCAAAAACAAAAAATTCATCCATACTTTTTACCACTCCTTTCATACTGTCAATAACAAGATCCATTTTTTAAAAAAAGAAAAATTTTTTTAAATAAAGATCTTTTTAAAAATTCTTTCCATTACAACCATTTCCTAGTTAGGACCAATCATTTACACCTTTTAATTCATAGAATTTGCATATTGTATCATTATTTAGTTGTGTCAAACCAATACAAATAAGAAGCTGTTGGGTTTTCACAACTTCAATCAAATGACACTAGTCAGAGGGTTGATCTACTATTTTGATAACACCGATCTCATTCATACATGCAAGTTTTAACTTGGATCTCCAATATGGTATGGTGTCACATTTTCATTTATTTTCATATGTACAGGGTTACCTTTAATTATCCTTAACCCATTGAATACTAAAGGAAACTGATCTGCTTTTGGTAGGCAGGTCAACCTAATAAAGCAGTTTTCACATTATTACAAACATATATGGTAATTAACTCACTGTTCTAACCAATGATTGAAAATGATTTTTGAAAATAGCCTAAGCAATTTAGTGGTTTATGATTAGGACCTAAAAATTGTTAATATGTAATTGTTTAATTTTAATTTCAAACTTTTTACACACCAATAATTTTAAATTAAAATCATTTTTATTGACAGTGTTCTACGTCTGTAAATTAAATTTTGTTTTACTGTAAAAATGTCCGACCTGGTCTACATTTTTAATTTTATTATTACATAACTCAGATACACCATCTTGTACTTTTTCTGAATAACAACCAATTTCCACTGCTTTATCTAGTGTTAACCTCTTTTCAGAAAGTAGTTTTTCTCGTACTTTATCACATATCCCAGACACAATTTTATCTTCTAATAAACTGTGAAGACAATCTACTGTTTTACAAAAATTTCAACTTTTTTACTTAATAACTTTATTTCTGTCTAAAAGTCATTAAAACATTCACGATCTTCCTGAAAATGTTTGAGATATATTTCAAAAGTCTTATTAATACTCTAGGCAAACAGTTCTATTTTTTCTAATATAACAGAAGGGTCTATTTTTCATTTTTGGTTATACTCAATGATTCATAAATGTTTCCATTTTTTAAAGAAAACCTATAACAAAGTTATAAGATATAATTATAACATCTTAACATCTAAACAAATTTATTTAGCAACGCAAATAGAATTTCATTATACTTTCAGTATTGTCAAAAACAAAAAATTCATCCATACTTTTTACTATTCCTTTTAGACTGTCAATAACATGATCCATTTTTTAATAAAGATTTCTGGAAGTGACTGGAAATGGCAGAAGCAACCAAAAGATGCAGTAAACATACAGTTTAACTGACTTTCCAAATCCATGGGTAATTGCCAATATCTTGAGCTAGCATCAAATTTAGCTATTACAACCATTTCCTAGTTACTCGCCTTTTAATTTTCCTAAGGTCACTTATCTACACCTTTTAATTCATAGAAATAGAGCATATCTATTTACCAATAATTCTAATATCGGAGGAGAAACACCACTTTTCTGCCAATTTTTACTGCATTCATTTTTTATAGAATGATTCCTAAGATTAAACAAGATAATAAAACTTTTTTTGCAATTTATTTCCACATTTGAAGATGCCTTCTGCATCTAATACATAATCTATGTCTTGTTGAACAGCGATTGCTGCTTCTTTTCTTGTTGAACAGTGATAACGGATAAATTTAGTCTCACCTTATTTAACATGCTGGTGATTGAGGAATATTTTTACTAGCTTTCTCTCATTCCTGGATTATATTTTATTTTTTGACTACAACAATTCTGAACATATAATGGCAGGCCATTTTTCAATTTGTCTTTAATTTGCTTCATAGTGTGTCTTGACATTTTCTTGGTATTTTACTTACAGGCAATTTAAGTAATGTAATGGTCAAAAAATATAGAATAACTGCTTTTTCTTCTAACTTATGTTTTCTTTTTTTTTTTTCTCATTTTGTAATTAAAATTTTAGACTATTTTTAATTGAAATTTTAGACTAATTTTGTATTAAAAAATAATCTTTAAAAAGATAAAAATTAATTTTTATAGAAAAAAACATGATAAAATATTAATAAAATTGTTCAAAAAGTATAATGTAATAAAAAGTTAAACTAAATCACAAAAAACAATTTATAACATCAAAAACAGTAAACTATCAAAACTCCACGCATTTATCAGATAGGATTTATAAGATATTTAATTAAAAACTGATCTGGGACTGTAATCTGTACAAATAATATATATATATATATATATATATATATATATATATATATATATATATATATATATATATATATATATATATATATATATATATAAATATATATATATATATAAATATATATATATATATATATATATATATATATATATATATATATATATATATATATATATATATATATATATATATATATATATATATATATATATATATATATATAGTCTTGCATGTCTCTT